TTAAATTAATTTAATAATATAAACATTTATCAAATAATTGTTATGAAAACAAAATGTCAAAGTGGCTTGTTACTAAAATGGCTTCATTGCTCTAAGAAATATATCCTTTGCATGACTAAAATGTAATAAATGTTCATTTATTTATTTGATATTTTAGAATTTTCTTTTCATGCATTTAAATCAACAAAAGTTCAAAATATGAATTCAGAGTACAAATCATTATGAAAGAGTTATTAGTCATCTTGCATATATCTGCTGCAACGTTGCTATAAGTACAATGTATTTGTGGCAATATTGCTGCAAATATTAATTTATTCATGTGCAAATTAGTTTTCTTGCAAATATACAATGCTGCAATATTGAAGCAAATATTTGCAGGACTGAAATCAAAAGCTGTAATATTTGCAGCAATATTGCAAAAAAATCTTTTAGCAATTGTAGTTGAAAAAGTTAAAAATTCTTCATTTCCTCGATAGTTCTTGAATTGATACATATAACAAATGCATTTAAAAATATTATTTAAAAAATATGATTTAATAAAACAGTACACTATAAAAATCTTGTTTTGTCTCTGTTGTTGTGAATAGGTTGTCATGTTACATGATCTTACCTTTTAACAGTATATTATTTGTACACTTTATTTCAGTGTTTCATTTGAATCTGTCTTACTGTCCTAATCAAATGGAATTTGGCCGTGTTGTTTGTTTTTATTGAACTTAAGATTTTTATTGGTCCTTCAACTACCTAATTGGCACCAAAAATAGTTTTTTTGATTTTTTTTCAATGAAATATTCATTTGCGCAGATTTTTAAAAACTTTCAAACTGGGTTTCGTTTGATAGTTTTGTTCCCAGATTCAAAGAAATTCATTAAAAAATTAAGAAACTTAGGTTATTTTAATTTTGAATAAACTGACTTTTGTGACTCCGAGTTTTATTATTTTAAAAAATACAGAAAGAAACATCTCGATAGAATAGGTTTTCTTTCAGAAAATTTAAATTTAATAAAAACTTCCGTAAAAAAAATCGAATAAATCTACACAGATCAGGGTCGTCTTCAGGTCTTAGTGTCACCTTAGTCCGTACTTGATCTGTATTTTATTTTATTTACCAGTATGGCGTCGGACATCTCTCAGACTCTTCGAAGCAAAGGCAAAAAAACGACGACATGATGATTCTGACGAAGACTGGGCAGTTGATTCGAATCTAAGCACGACGAGTAATAAATCTAAGGAGTCGAAACCTATTCCTCGTGACACAAGTACTTGGAAACCGTATATATTGGATCGACTTCATCTTCGTTGGGATGATTCGACTAGGAGTCCCGAAGAATTGCTAAACATTTGTAGCTCTATCCCTCCTCTTAATGAAGAGTTAAAGGACGTAGCTAATTACATAACAGAAAAAATAAACATTGATTTCCCTTTTAAACAGTTAAAAGCAATGTCACTAGCCGATCTGGATTCTGTTGGACAGAAGTTAGTTGATATTTTACTTATATACTTTGCTCTGCTGACTTTATTCAATACTTCGTCCATTCTCGGCATTAAAATCGGGTCGAAAATTGTCTGTTTGTTTAAATCTCGATAATCGACACAAAAACGAAATGTGTTGTCTTTTTCTTAATAAGTACTATCGGAAATGCATATGGACTATCAGACGGCTCAACTATACCGGCATCTAACATATCATCAATCTCTTGTTTGACTTTATCTCTGAGTGCGTATGGTAACGGATATGAACGCTTGTATATCGGTTCATCTGTCTTTGTAACTACTCTATGTTCTATAATATTTGTTACCTTAGGTACGTCACTAAAGATGTCATCGTATTCATTCAGTAGTTCTTTTAACTGTTGGTTTTCTTCGTCTGTTAACTCTGGTGATATTTTGACGTCATCTGCACTTTCTTTTCTTTTCAACACAGGAGTAATAGCTGTAGACATCTCATTATCATCTGTACTGTCATCTGTGCTAAGACCTGAAATTAAATTTAAGCACGCAGCAATATCTGTTGGAACACTATTATCAATATTATTATCTACCCTTTCATGCCATAACTTCAACATATTCACATGAAATACTTTGTCCTTTCCTCTGACCCTAATTTTATAGTCAACAGGACTAACTTTGTCAGTTACTACAAACGGTCCTTTCCAACTTGCTATCAGTTTTGATGTATGTGTAGGTAGTAATATTAGCACCTTCTGGCCAACTTCTAACTTTCTATCTCTAGATTTTCGGTCATAGTACAATTTTTGTCTCTGTTTTGCTTTCTTTTCATTTTCATTTGCATACTCAGCCATTGTTCTCATCTTTTCTCTTGTTTCTAACAAATAACTCAATACAGAGTTTTGACATGTACTTGGCTCTTCCCATTCCTCTTTAAGTACTGCAAGAGGACCTCTAATGTGTCGACCGTATAACAATTCAAATGGTGAAAAACCAGTGCTCTCATTTGGCACCTCTCTGTATGCAAAAAATAAGTAGGGGATATATTCATCCCATGTTTGTGGCTTTAATCGTGCATATGCTTTCAGCATTTTCTTCAAAACGCCATTGAACTTTTCACGAAGTCCATTACACATTGCATGATAAGGACTAGTACGTAACTTACTTATTTGTAATAGTCTACATACCTCAACCATCAGTTCTGACATAAAGTTACTGCCTTGGTCTGTTAACAGCTCCTTTGGTATGCCAACCCTAGAAAATAAACTTATAAGAGCATTTGCAACTGTACCAGCGTCCTGTTCTTTCAAAGGAATCGCCTCTGGATATTTAGTGGCGTAATCAACGCAAACTAAAGCATAGCGGTTCTTGCTATCAGTCATAGGTAAAGGGCCAATAAAATCAAGAGCAATGCGCTGGAATGGCTCATCAATAGGTGGTATGCTTATCAATGGAGCTCTTGGTACTCTACCTTTAGATGTACCTATCTGACAATCAGGACAAGACCTGCAGTACTCTGCAATATCATTAAAAATACCTGGCCAAAAAAAGTGTTGCATGATTCTGTCTCTTGTCTTCTTGTTCCCCAGATGACCTGCTAATGGTATGTCGTGTCCCAATGAAAGAACAGTCTCTCTCAGCTGTCGTGGTAATACAATCTGATGGATAACTTCTCCGCTTGGCTTCGTATACACTCTATAAAGTAAATCTGAATAATACATAAAATACGATTCATGATTTTGATGGTCTTCACCTACATATGATCGTACCTTATTCAAGGCCTCATCTGTCTTCTGTAACTCTATAAGCTGCTTCCTGTCACAAATCTTAAATTCACTAGTAATCTCTGAAAACTCTATAGAATGAGATATAGGTGTATCGCAACTACGCTGAACTGCTGTCCTGTCTATCATCCTATCTTCTACATCTTGCTTCTTCCTTTGAGATCTAGTCTCAATTGCATGACAAGGGACAGCATCATCTGAAACAAAAATATCTTCACCTCGTGTCACATGTACTTCATCCATACTATGTGGTACTGATGTGTTCACATAGTTTCCAACTATAAGATCTGCGAACGGTGTATCTAAAATCAATGCAATAATATCCCCTGAAATATAAGGAGTAGAAACATTAATGTACACCTCTTGACACTGCTTCACCGTACTGTCTGCTAAGCAAATATCTCTAGTCTGACCTGTTAAGAAATCTGCATTAGTAAACCTGCTATGAACAAACACAGTAGAACAACCTGTATCTCTCAAAACAGAGACTTTGTCACTGTTAATCTCACCTTCAACTATATCAAGTCCATGTACTTGTACCTTGTTGCCATTGCATGAAACTCCAGGCAATTTAACAGTCACGCCACTAATATAATCATCCACTTTATGGTCCTGCTGAGCCTGTATGCACAAACCAAACTTACCTGTCTTAAACGTTTCCCCTGTTGATCGGTTTGTCCTTGCAGGACAATTTGTTGCTATATGGCCTATGTTTTTACAAATAAAACAAGTCCTAGTCTCTGTGTTTGGTTTCTTTTGGGAATTCTTACCTTGATGTTTAGACTGCTCTGTATAATCTGAATGTTGTTTGGAACTTACCTGTTCACTCTTGTGAGCTTGTTGAAACGCCTCTGCTTTATCTACCAATTCGTCGACCGTTTTTGGTTTTTGTTCCTTGATCCAAAGTTTCAGCTCTTTACTACAACTTACCATCAACTGTTCTCTAGTAACTAAATCAACAAATTTATCAAAATCAGTGCCTATCGCTTCACGCTCTTTCCAATGCCTAAGAAACCCTACCAGTCTTACTGCAAATTCCTTAAATGACTCATCAGAAAATTGACCACCACTTCTGAACTTTTCTCTGTATGCCTCGGCAGTAAGCTCATATCTAGATAAGATAGCAGTTTTAATTTTATCATAATCTCTACTGTCCTCTTCTGACAATCTAGAAAATGCCTCTAAAGCTTTCCCACAAAGTAAAGGGACTAATCTGAGGGCCCACTCTGGCTTGGGTATTTTATGTAAACCAACTAACTTCTCAAATGACCTTAAAAACATCCTGGTCGTCACCTTCCTTAAACTTGGGAAGTTTTGACTTCAAATTTGACTTGCCCTGGGGTTGCACTACCCCCTGTGTCAGCTCTTTGTCCCTAAGCTCTAACTCTTTTAATCGTACCTCTCTTTCCATCTCTACCTTTCTCATCTCTCTCTCTGCCGCTCGCTCTTCCCTCTCTGTAGCCTGCATGTTTCTTAACAGTTCCAAACATGTCTCCACCTTCTCTCCCTTCTCTAGTAAATCTGCAACCAAAGCGGGTAATCCACTTGTCATGCTGCACAATACAAATAATAATAAATCAAAGAAAATGTAAATGATAACAAAAATAATAATCACAAAATTCAAATAAAATGTTCAACAAAAATGTTCCCTCTTGTATGTTTGACAATGTTCCTAATATAACAATTGGCACAGTGACAATCCCACCGCTGCCACCATGGTAAAGAATTAAGTTCTTTGGATTGTCAAGTGGCCAATGTTATACAAAATTAAATTTAAATATAAATTTAATAAACAAAACAAAAGTAAAGTAAATTCAACATAAATGAAATAATGAAATGAATACATGCAAATGTAACTAAATAAACACACACAAAACAGAACTAAATATGATGTTATGAAATAAACAAAATGAAATTAAACAATTACAGTCCGCACACCTCCATCCACTCTGCACACTTCCCGGTAAAGGTTGAACGTTGCACGTACTGTAGAATAACTTTGGGTTGTTCCCCTTGAATTTCTTTTAATATAAAACGGACAGAAAATAACTATTTTCACACATTTTTGGTTGATTCTAAATTGATGAAAAGAACACTAGATTTTATACTTTTACTGCAATGATAACTTCAATGAGCAATGACGACTTGAAACTGCATAATACTGCACGGACTGCTCGATTCGTTTAACATATATTTATACGGACTTCTTTGTATATTTATAACAGATATTTTCACCGACTCCAGGCGTTGTAATTGATATCAGCAAACATCGAGTTGTAACCATATTACTAATAATACCCTTTGTATCTCCGACACCATATATCACCGACCAGTCGACGGTATTTACTACGTGCTGTACGCACACCAAAACCGGGCCTAAAAACCCCTGCAAAATAAATATTGAACCCCAAAATTACTTACTTTATCTATACATTTGCATGATACAGCAATTTTCCGACATTTTGGACCGCGAGTAAGAAATATCATCTCGACGGCAAAATAGACCTCAACGAACGATATAAATAAGTAAAAATGTCTTACCTGAGTGTTGTAATAATAAGCCTTGGGATATCCATGTCCTAAACTGACAATTATAATACCCAACTGCTACTTTTACCAACTCTAGACTCCGCACAAGCGTGTGCTTTATTCAATGGCCATGTGTCGACTGATTTCAAACTCACCTGTGAAATTTCAATAGGTGCCTAATCACGTGATACACATGAAAGGTCTGCTTGACTATATAGTCCGGTGTTAACGAAAATAAGCCCTAACATAAAATATAGTCCTAAGTGAAATAGATATATATAAATAAATAAATGGAGTTTGTTACAGTGTATAACAATCAAAACTTTCGACAGGCTTTGTGTACCTGGGGTACATATCAACAGTACCTCAAATACAGACCAATTCAATCTACATACTCCTCACTTTGATGAATATTGATGTGTATTACCATCAAAACTTTCAAAAGCTTCGTCTGCTTGAAGTACAAATCAACTGTACCTCAAGGGCAGACCTATTCCATGTATTTACAACCAACTTTGATGTAAAGTGATGTGTATTACCGTCAAAACGTTCAACAGGCTTTGTCTACTGGTGGTACAAATCAACTGTACCTCACGTACATACCAATTCCATCTACATACACCCCCCTTTGATGAATACTGATGTGTATTACCACCAAACTTACGACAGCTTTGTTTACTTCAGGTACACATCATCTGTACCTCAAGTGCAGACCAATTCAAATTACATACACCCAACTTTGATGAATGTTGACGTGTTTTACCATCAAAACTATCGACAGGGTTTATCTACCTAAGGTACAAATCAACTGTATCTCAAGTGAGGAAAAATGCAACTTGCATACACCCAACTCTGCTGAGTATGTTTGTGTATTACCATCAAAACTTTCGAAAGCTTTGTCTGCTTGAAGTACAAATCAACTGTACCTCAAGGGCAGACCTATTCCATGTATTTACAACCAACTTGTAATATATACTTGATGTATAGTGATGTGTATTACCATCAAAACTTTCGAAAACTTTGTCTACTTGAAGTACACATCAACTGTACCTCAGGTACAGACAAAAGCAACTTACATACACCTCACTTTGATGAACATTGATGTGTTTTACCATCAAAACATTCAACAGGCTTTGTCTACTTCAGGCACGCATCAACTGTACCTCAAGTACAGACCAATGCAACTTACATACACCTCACTTTGATGAACATTTATGTGTGTATTACCATCAAAACATTCAACAGGCTAAGTCTACTTCAGGTGCGCATCAACTGTACTTCAAGTACAGAGGAATGCAACTTATATATACACAACTCTGATGATTATTGATGTGTATTACTATCAAAACTTTGGAAAGGCTTTGTCTACCCGAGGTACACATCAACTGTACCTCAAATACAGACCAATTCAATCTGCATACACTTCACTTTGATGAATATTGATGTGTATTACCATTAAACTTTCGAAAGCTTTGTCTTCTTGAGGTACACATCAACTGTACCTCAGGTACAGACCAATTGAACTTACATACCTCTCACTTTGATGAACATTTATGTGTATTACAATCAAAACATTCAACAGGCTTTGTCTACAGGTACGCATCAACTATACCTCAAGTGCAGATCAATGCAACTTAGATACACCCAACTCTCATGAGTATTGATGAGATTCAAATCAAAACTTTTAACAGGCTAAGTCTACTTCAGGTATGCATCAACTGTGCCTCAAGTACAGACCAATGCAACTTACATACACCCAACTCTGATGAATATTGATGTGTATAACAATCAAAACTTTCGACAGGCTTTGTCTACCAGAGGTACATATCAACTGTACCTCAAATACAGACCTATTCAATCTACATACACCTCACTTTGATGAATATTGATGTGTATTACCATCAAAACTTTCAAAAGCTTTGTCTGCTTGAAGTACAAATCAACTGTACCTCAAGGGCAGACCTATTCCATGTATTTACAACCAACTTTGATGTATAGTGATGTGTATTACCGTCAAAACGTTCAACAGGCTTTGTCTACTGGTGGTACAAATCAACTGTACCTCACGTATAGACCAATTCCATCTACATACACCTCCCTTTGATGAATACTGATGTGTATTACCACCAAACTTTCGAAAACTTTGTCTACTTGAAGTACACATCAACTGTACCTCAGGTACAGACCAATGCAACTTACATACACCTCACTTTGATGAACATTGATGTGTTTTACCATCAAAACATTCAACAGGTTTTTTCTACTTCAGGCACGCATCAACTGTACCTCAAGTACAGACCAATGCAAGTTACATACACCCAACTCTGATGACTATTGATGTGTATTACCATCAAAACTTTCGGCAGGCTTTGTCTACCTGAGGTACACATCAACTGTACCTCAAATGCAGACCAATTCAATTTACATACACCTCACTTTGATGAATATTGATGTGTTTTACCATCAAAACTATTGACAGGCTTTGTCTGCTTGAAGTACGCATCAAATGTACCTTAAGTAAAGACCAATGCAACTTACATACACACAACATTGATAAATATTGATGTGTATTACCATTAAAGCGTTCGACAGGCTTTGTCTACCTGAAGTACACATCAACTGTACCTCAAATACAGACCAATGCAACTTACATACACCTCACTTTGATGAATATTGATGTGTTTTACCATCAAAACTTTTGAAAGCTTTGTCTACTTGAAGTACAAATCAACTGTACCTCAAGTGCATACCTACTCGTACTACATACACCCAACTCTGATGTAAATGATGTCTATTACCATCAAAACATTCGACAGGCTTTGTCTTCTTCAGCTACGCATCAACTGTACCTCAAGTCCAGACCAATGCAGCTTACATACACCCAACTCTGATGAATATTGATGTGTATTACCATCAAAACTTTCAAAAGGCTTTGTCTACCTGAGGTACACATCAACTGTACCTCAAATACAGAGCAATTCAATCTACATACACACAACTCTGATAAATATTGATGTGGATTACCAGCAACACTTTCGACAGGCTTTGTCTATCTGAGGTACACATCAACTGTACCTCCAATAAAGATAAATATAACCTACACGCACCTCACTTTGTTGAATATTGATGTGTATTACCATCAAAACTTTCGAAAGCTTTGTCTAATTGAAGTACAAATCAACTGTTCCTCCAGTACAGACCTACTCAATCTACATACACCAGTTCTGATGTTAGTGATGTGTATTACCATCAAAATATTCAACAGGCTTTGTCTACTTCAGGTACGCATCAAATGTACCTCAAGTACAGACCAATGCAACTTACAAACATCTCACTTTGATGACTATTGATGTGTATTACGATCAACAATTTCGACAGGCTTTGTCTACCTGAGGTATACATCAATTGTACCTCTCATACAGACCAATATAACCTAAATACACCTCCTTTTGATGAATATTGATGTGTATTACCATCATAACTTTTGACAGACTTTCTCTACCTGAGTTACATATCAACTGTACCTCAAGTACAGACCAATTCAAATTAAATACACCCAACTTTGATGAATGCTTATGTGTATTACCATCAAAACTTTTGACAGGGTTTGTCTACCTGAGGTACGCATCAACTGTATCTCAAGTACAGATTGATGCAACTTACATACACCCAACTCTGATGAGTATTAATGTGTATTTCCATCAAAACTTTCAACAAGCTTAGTGTACTTCAGGTCGGCATCAACTGAACTTCAAGTACAGACCAATGCAACTGACATACACCCTACACTGATGAATATTGATGTGTATTACCATAAAAAATTTCGAGAGGCTTTGTCTACCTGAGGTACACACCAACTGTACCTCAAATACAAACCATTTAATCTACATACACCTCACTTTGATGAATATTGATGTGTATTGTTTTCAAAAAAGTTTCGAAAGCTTTGTTTACTTGAAGTACAAATCAACTGTACCTCAAGTGCAGACCTACTCAATCTACATACATCCAATTCTGATGTAAATGATGTGTATTACCATCAAAACTTTCGACAGAATTTGTCTAATTCAGGTACGCATCAACTGTATCTCAAGTACAGACCAATGCAACTTGCATACAACTCACCTTGATGACTATTGATATGTATTACCATCAACACTTTCATCGGAATTTGTCTACTTCAGGTACGCATCAAATGTACCTCAAATACAGACTGATTCAATTTACATACACCTCACTTTGATGAATATTGATTGTTTTACCATCAAAGTTTTCAAAAGCTTTGTCTACTTGAAGTACAAATCAACTGTACCTCAAGTGCATACCTATTCAATCTACATACACCCATGTCTGATGTAAGTGATGTGTATTACCATCAAAATATTCGACAGACTTTGTCTACTTCATGTACGCATCAACTGTACCTCAAGTACAGACCAATGCAGCTTACATACACCCAACTCTAATGATTATTGATGTGTATTACCATCAAAACTTTCGACAGACTTTGTCTACCTGAGGTACACATCAACTGTACCTCAAATACAGACCAATTCATTCTACATACACCTCATGTTGATGAATGTTGATGTGTATTACCATCAAAACTTTCGAAAGCTTTGTCTACTTGAGGTGCACATCAACTAAACCTCAGGTACAGACCAATGCAAATTACATACACCTCACTTTGATGAATATTGATGTGTTTTACCATCAAGACTTTCAAAAGCTTTGTCTACTTGAGGCACAAATCAACTGTACCTCAAGTGCATACCTACTCAATCTACATACACCCAACTCTGATGTAAGTGATGTGTATTACCATCAAAACATTCGACAGGCTTTGTCTACTTCAGGTACGCATTAACTGTACCTCAAGTACAGACCAATGCAGCTTACATACACCCAACTCTGATGAATATTGATGAGTATTACCATCAAAACTTTCGAAACCTTTGTCTACTTGAGGTACACATCAATTGTACCTCAGGTACAGACCAATGCAACTTACATCAACTCACTTTGATGAATATTGATGTGTTTTACCATCAAAACTTTCGAAAGCTTTGTCTACTTGAGTAACATATCAACTGCACCTCAGGTACAGACCAATGCAACTTACATACACCTCACTGTGATGAATATTGATTTGTTTTATCATCAAAACTTTCGAAAGTTTTGTCTACTTGAGGTACACATCAACTAAACCTCAGGTACAGACCAATGCAAATTACATACACCTCACTTTGATGAATATTGATGTGTTTTACCATCAAGACTTTCAAAAGCTTTGTCTACT